ACAAACAGCAACTAAAGATATTCGCGAAGTTTATTTGGACCGTGCTCCAGCACTCCGCACAGTAAAGAAATGGTTCGCGATATTTCGTTCTGGAGATTTTAACCTCGGAGATCAACCTCGCAGTGGACGGTATTTCGACGGAAGAGAAGAACCTTTTTTGGATCGGCTCGTGACTGGTGATGAAAAATGGATCCTGTACATCATGCCGCATCCCCCATATTCACCCGACATTGCACCTTCTGATTATCATTTGTTTCGATCGCTGCAGAACAATTTGAATGGAAAAAATTTAAAAATGTGGAAGACGTCAAAAACCACCTTGACATCTTTTTCAACGAGAAACCGCGGTTGAACGTTGGGAGTAAAATGCCGAACATGATGGCGAATATATAATTGTTTAATAAAACCGCTTTCTTCAAAAAATTTCAATTTTAGTTTGCACTTGAAATCGGGCACGAACTTATGCACTCATACTTTATTTATATATTCGTATAATAGCATGATAAGACAGCTGTCAAAGTAGAATTATTTTTCAGTAAAACTTTCCATTTGAAAAGAAAAATCAGTATAGCGGACAGTTGTGCCCACTTAGCGGCCAAAAGATTTCAAATTATTCTTGACGAGAGCTTGTTTATGCGTGCAACCCTGGAAGTAGTCATAATATCCACCTACGGATGTCGGGCTCAAATTCCTGGTACGACCAACATCCAAAAGTTATGGAAAATTAAATTAAATGAATGAAAAAAAAATTAAGTTAAATTTTCAAATTGCGCTCGCCCTTCGGACTTTAATGATCAATTACTGGTACTTTCTTCATTGTAAATGTAAGACATATCCAGAAATTAGGATGATGAACAAAGGTATGCGGAAGATTAATTGTGACTGACGAAATCCCTTAAAAAATCAAAATATACTACGTGATGTTTGCAGATTGACTGTTGATGAACTTTCTGAGATGTTTCCGAAAAATTTCCATATTCCTATTACAGAAAACAATCACAGAAATACTTTCCGATGTGAAAAATAAATGTTGGCTCTTTATCATATTTACCTGGAAACCAAAGATAGACACCAGCAAATATAAAAATGCAAACGAGAGTCAGGCAGCTGAAAATATGTATGATTTATATATATTAATGATCCTGGCACAGTAACAGTCAATCAAGCACAATTTCGATTTTTCTGCTTTCGTTCCGGTCAGTGTCATGTCAATAAAATAATGGAAATGGTCGAGTCTGTCCATCATGCGAGCACTGTTTCGATTGCCCAGGAGCTAAAAACTGTACAAAAAATAGTTTGAAACCAATTGAAAATTCTCAATATGCAAAGACGCTCTATGTATGGGTGTCACATGAGTTAACGAGAAAAAACCTCTTGGACCGAATTTTTATTTGCAAATCGCTAACGAATCGTAAAAAAAATCGATCCATTTTTGAAGCAAATTGTGATTGGTGATTAAAAAAATGAAGCACTTACAACAGCATCAAATCAAAACAGTCGCATTTGAAGATTAGCCAGCAGCTGCAAGTGGTCGTCAAGCCAAAAAGATTTTGTGTGTGTTTGGTAGGATTAATAAGGAATCATACACCCCTAGCTATTCCCTTAAAGCCAAACTCTTAATTCGGACCTGTACTGTCAGTAATTGGACTATAAATGGAAGTCATCGCCCAGAAGCGCCTAGCTTTGGCCAATGGGAGAGAAATTGTATTGCTTCAGAACAGCGCCAGACCACATACATAGATAGTGATTCGTTAAATGGCGGTTCATTCAGCTGAGAAGGAATTGGTCTCCTTAAAGAGAGGCCCGTTAAAATCGATTGTCCCAATTGTTTGGTAGTAGGGGCAGGGTAAAAAAAACTATGGTAAATAATCATTATTAGATATCTCTAAGGTTGCTCATACATACCATCAGCTTATCTCCTCTTTTGGTTTGTGGTGTTCCACCCATATTTATGCCTTACAAACATTTTATATGTACTATGGTATAGAATTGTGGTTAAGACAATTTTCTTTCTTTTTTTTTTGTGTGTAACCACTTAAGTTGAGCCATATTTCTTTAAAGCCTAACAATTCACTTCACGCGCTTTGTAGTTAATACAAAACTCTTGCAATATATTATCTTACCACCCACAAATTCATTACATGCATACATACATATTTGGCTGTGCATTTAGCTTCTTCGACTATCATTCTTATTTAATAGCTAAAGAAGCAGCATAAAAACGCCGTAAATCAATATTGAGCATTATTTTACGATTTCGAGGAGTAACAGTGTTTGCAAGTATATAAATACATATATAAACGAATATATATTATATAATATACCTAAATGCATATACGTTTGTATATTTCATTGGTTTATTTATCGTTTAAGGCTGGCTCAAAGTGCAGCAGAATTTGCACTCTTATAATATTATTGGGTTTCCAATTCATGCACAAACATTCAGAATAAATTCTCAGCTACACAATCAGTGCGTGAATGTTAGTTAGCTGCCATTTAATAGCTATGATTGCTATATGTTTGTGCACTGAATTCCTGTGCAATGCACTTGTCAGGTCAATATTCGTACGTGCATAAAAGCGAAAATAAATAGATGGCGTTATATGTAGTCGAATGAGTAGTATTAATTGCATTAATATGATCCAAAAAGGGTTTTCATCAAATTTCGGCATTTAAGAGCACATGAAATCGGTATGAAAAAGGAGACACATTTTTAAAACTTTCATTATCAGAGTGGTTCGGGTTCGCCCTTAAGGAAAGTTTTTGTATTTAAATAACACAACAGTAGGTACTTTAATGAGTTTTTAGTAATTTCAAACAAACTGGAAATGCAAAACTCCTGGCGGGAGAAAAAAATATATATTGTATCAAGAAATTTTATATAATTTCGGTATGGAATCGATCTAACAACATTTTCCAATTAATTATGAATTAGTTGAATAAATAGTGATCAATAGTATATTCGAAGCCACCTCCGAATGGCAGATGGATTTTTAGGAGGAACTTTAATTTCAAGCCAGAGGAACACTCAGAGGGCTTGATATTACCTGACGATCGGTGACCACAATTAGAAAAATTAATGTTCTATAATTTTAGAAGTTGGTTGCGCCTTGATTCAAACCCTTTGTCTTCTTTCTACTTGCAACAACTCGACTATCCCCGTATTTATGCGAATAAACCTTTATCTCTTGAACACTTGAAAACCAATACTTGTCATGTTATGGCTATGATATCGCTCAATATGTGCGAAAATTACTTCAAACTGATCGAAGTTTGCAAAACTACGCAAAGCGGTAATTTTAATACTGAAGTATTTTACATATAATGGATTTCATAAGAAAGCAATGGGGAATTTTCTTGATCAGAAGTATAGTATTATTGTAGTCAATATGCCATTCAAAAATGCACTCAACTACTCATACTAGTCCTGCCACCACGCACATATCTGCAGTGACGACGGCGTCGCTTGCTAATATTTACTTGCTTCTATTTATTTACTTGCACTTTATTCTCTCCACGTTATCCACATTTCCACACGATGATTTTTGCTGCTGCTGCAACACTTAAATAAACATTTACTTGGTGTAGCGCAACGACAAAGTTGAGAAATGTAAAAATATTTAGTAGTAGATAAGTATTTTTTTTTTTTCTTATTTACACTACCCTGCTTCTGTTTCAACTTCGCGTGGATTTTATATATCCAGTGGAGGGTGCATTTAATTTATTGACAATGACAGTGAGCGCAAAAATAAAATAATGCGGGAACAGATTTTAAACATTCAATTAATATTTCAAATAATGCAATTCAAACACTTTAAGGAAACATGCATTTTAACGGCAACCAATATCCCTTATTATTCAATATTTATTTTTCTAAAATGCTAAAAGACTTTATATATTACATAAGAATGAGGAGAGTTTCGCTACACTACGAAAACGTTTATTGAAACAAGAATGAAGATCTGTCTTTATACCATATTATGACCATATCAAATATATGGGACGTTGCTATATGATGTAGGCCTTTGATTTCAATGATTTTTGCTCATAATGTTTATTTGCTCGAACGTGTGTGAAATCTCAAATCGGAAAAATGGTGGTCATGCGCCTAACTTCTTCAGACAGGATAAGGAAGCAAAGCGTGTGGGTTCGTTAGTGAAGCAGAGCAAGACGAAATACCTCCTATCAACAAACAAATAGTCATCGCATTCGGGACTCGGCTCCCACATTACTTTTGAAATGTTCAATTCAGCATTAATACCAAAAAGAACCGGTAACGATTTAGATTGAGTAAGCAAGCGAAAGAGTCCTCGCTCCATAAAAAAAGACAACGGCTACGCTGGCATCGAAAGTTTTGAATGCAGTATCCGTCGGCTTTGGTGTAAAAAATTAGGATTATCTTGGCCATGAAGCCACCACCTTTAAAAATAACATATTAAAATCATATCATATATAAAATCAAATCGATATCTCAAATAGTTTTTGATTTATAGCAATTTAAAGAGCAGCCGCTCGGCAGCTAGAGAGTCTCATTTGCTACGAGTGAAAACGATCATTTTATCTTTAAACGCGGTTTTTCTCACAACAGCATTTTTCGAATTTTTTTTCTTATCGTAGCTCATTGTACAGACAATATTATCTAGTAGAGAATTTTTTTTTAGGTGCCATCCACGGAGAAGGCCGGAATCTCTGAAAGACCTTTTTTTCGCGCCGTTAGAGATCGACTATATCTTAAAAAATATTTAATTTTTTTCTTCAAAAATTTCACTGTATATTCCTAAAATATGTATTAATATATTCTTAAAAATTTGAAATAATTGATAAGGTATTTTGTTTAATAAATATTCACAAAAACCATTTGGATAAGCACAGTAATACTGACCAATCAGTTTTTAGTCACTCATACGCACTGTGACACCAGCAAAAAATCTCTCTTTCAGCTCATTACTTATAATAATATGAAAATCTAATTAACTATAATAATTTAAGACATTACTTACATATCTCTGATGTCATTTAGGCCCCAAAACGCTCTCGGATGTATGTGGGTAATACGATTGTCATTGAGATCTCTTCAAAATGATGACCATGAAGTAGGTGCAAGACATGAAATGGTAGAAAAAAGAAATAAAACGTTCATATCAAAACCAATTAATCACATTTACTAATATAAAGGCCTCATTCAATACACAAAAATAAATAATAAGACTATAAGAAAATTCTAAATCTAAGTGAATTAAGGTGACAAGTTGTATTGCTTCATATAAATAAATATCGAAAAAATTGTAAGATGAGTATAATTTTCCCATAAAAAAGTATGTAATAATATATACTATTGACATTTATTACTTTTTTCTATTTTCACTTTGCACTTTCGGTAAAAATAATAAAAACACAATGTCTGTTGAGTGATAATAACAAATCACAAAAAATCTAAGGTGTCTGTGGCGTATGTAAATTTTCACCACAACAACACTAACAGAAAAATGGTACAGTTGAAGTGACTTATTTGTTTAACAATTTGTATGCTTGTCATGTGACGTGATTTTACGCTAAAGCATCTATGTAGCCAAACATACTTAATGTGTTCGATATTGACACTAAATATTCTACCCAAACCCCACTTGGTGTGCTGACAGTGAAAAATGATTGGTATTAAATAAAAACAATGTAGACAATTTATTAACTGAATATTTATACGCAGACGAAATATCTACTTTTTTTATGTTGGGAGTGATTTTCTATTCACACAAGTTACCTACCAACTACACATATACTCGTACGTATGTACATATATGCGGCTGTAGGTAGTAGAGACGCTTATATGCAGAGGTGTACGTAACAAACCCACAAAATATTGGCTGGGAATTTCAGTTATGTTACTCTTAAGTATGCTTGAGGTAACAAAATTATTTTGTTGACTGTAAAGGAATTCTTCGTAGAATTAGTTGTAAACTGAAATGTTTGGAAATTTCCTAAAATCCCATTCCCACAGTAGATGTCTGTCGAGACACCTATGCTTTTAGGAGGCCTAATATGAAAGCATAGAGTCAGTTGTACTTCTTATTTATTTCTCGTGCTGCACTGCGTATACGCAACATAATTCTTGATGTGAAAAATATGTAACTAAGGTTGACTTGAGTAAAGGCGTTGTACAACAACTGCAGAACTAATCGCTGAGATGTATTATTGTAAAATTTGAAGCTTAAGGTAATTAAAAAAGTAATAAATCATTAATAAAGCTCATTGTGAAGTTCGCATGGACTTTCTTACATAACATACTCTGCATAAACATTTTGTAATAAAATAAATAAAAAAAATAAATAAAGGAGATTAGTATTCAGAAGTTTATTTTGATTTATAATTCAATTTAATACTTACAATAAATTCAAATTAGCAAGATTTGTAAACATTTCCTCCGATATATATTCAATGATATTTGAATCCAAATAGCTATAAAGAGAAGACCATAGAAGTTACATTGATTTTCAATATTGTTTGAAAAAAATATTAAAAAACATGCAGAGAGAACGTTTATATTTACATATTATTTCGAAAAAGCTTAAAGCCGCTTAAGGTAAAAAAAAATTATAAATTTTTTAAGAATATTTTAAAACCAAAGGCCATAGGACGATTACCATACTGTATCGGCCCCAGCAAGATATTGGTCTTCATATTTCCGCGCATCTTATTAGTACCAAAAAAATACTTCAAAACTTATTATTATCGTTTTCAAAAGAAATACCAGTAGCTTCTAAAAAATTTACTTTATCGGCGCAAGAGTTTTTAAATATGTTTAGGCTAACTTTTCAGATATATATATATTTTTTTGAGTTCCTCATTAAATTTTCTATAGACTTAGGACTGTCGTAAATTTAGAAAAATGGTACGGCATATGATATTTCTCTACGGGAAGATATTGGATGAGTGCATAAGTTCGTGTCCGATTTCAAGTGCAAACTAAAATTGAAATTTTTTGAAGAAAGCGCTTTTATTAATCAATTATGTATTCGCCATCATGTTCGGCAATCCACTCCCAACGTTCAACCAATTTACGGATGCCTGATTCATAGAAATCGCGCGGATTCTCCTTGAAAAAGGTGTCAAGGTGGTTTTTGACGTCTTCCACATTTTTAAATTTTTTTCCATTCAACATCGGTTCCGCCCCTTCGTGTGCCTGTTTCCATGTTCTTTTGCGTTGAACATTGTTGTACAGGAACCATTTTCCATCACCAGTCACGAGCCGATCCAAAAAAGGTTCGTTTTTGATCCGTCGAAGCAAGGAAATTGCTGTTGACATATGGTCCACTTTGTTTTTTTTCACTCAACTGATGTGGCACCCATGTATCGAGCTTCAAAGTGTACCCAACCTTTTTTATTGACGTTCAATTCACTGGCAACCTCTTCCATCGAAATACGTTAGTTATTCGCAACTTAAGTCCTTAGAGCATCGTCATCAAGCTCAGAAGGCCGTCCACTGCGAGGTTGATCTTCAAGGTTAAAATCTCCAGAACGAAATTTCGCGAACCATTTCTTTACTGTGCAGAGTGCTGGAGCACGGTCCAAATAAACTTCGCGAATATCTTTAGTTACAGCGCCTACTATTTTTCCTTTGCGGAATTCGTATATCATAATATGACGCATATGATCTTTTTCGTTGTCCATCTTCCATGCGTCTTTTCACTAAGCAACTCAAATCAAAATGAAGTTATTTTATGCTTGATTTATAGTTCGGACTGTCACCTTTCCAACGATATATAATATGTATATATTTCTTTCGAACGGCATCCAGCGGAATCGGGCACGAACTTATGCACTCATCCAATAGTTACCTTTTTGAAGTTTTGTTTGATACCGGACGGCTCGGAGAGCTTTTGGACCCACCTCTTTTTCGTACTATTAGTGCAATTTTAAAACATTTTTCTTGGTACCAACAAACCTTATTTGTTAGAAAATTAAATCCGAAGATCTTAAAAAAAGCGGACTTCTGGACTTTTTCCAAATATTGTTGAATTGCTATTTGCACTGATAATGTATGCTAGTATACACGTACATACAAATATAAAGTTGCCTAACGTTTTCTCAAACATTGACTTTTACGACTCACATTCAAACGCCATACAGTTACATGGTGACCCACACACAGACACACATACCCACATTATCATGGAATATATTGTATTGTAGTTGGTTGTACTTATCTCCAACTTAAAACATTGATACACGCATTACTTCCTACTCACATTTCATACAACCGCTGCATGTGCGGAAATTTCTCGTTACGCAGTGTGAGCAAATTATCACTCAGCATTAACCATTCGAGGTGTGGCATGTCCACGAATTGCGCCAACGGCAACTCACGCAATTGATTTGAGATGAGAAAGAGCCATACGAGCGAGTTCAGGCCTCCAAATATGCCAGCTGACAATGTGCTGATATTGTTATGCCGCACATCCAGCTTCTCCAACTGATGTAGGCCATTGAAAGTGCCTAGCGGCATGTGCGATATGTTGCAATGCTTCAGTGAGCTGAGCCGGAAAATGGGTGAAACGAAAAAAAAAAAGAAAAAGAAAAGCAAATCACGAGAATGTTAAGTTGAAGGAAAAGGAAATATGTGTTGTTATAAATCGTTGCAAGTATGTATGTAGGCATAAAGATTAAATTGCAGAAGATGAAAAAGGTCAAAGGCCCCTTGCTTGCTTGCTGCTGTCAACGCCAACATTGCTCACTTCCGTTACTTACAGCTTTTGTAAGTGTTTCAGCCCAATAAAGGCATTTTCACGCAGCGTCAAATTACTGCGGCCGATCATCAGATGCGTCACCTGCAAAGAAATGGTCGAATTCCAGTGAGCGCTTAAATTTAAGATGGCACGCACATCTTGGCTTTAGTTACAATGATGATATGTATGTACATACCTCTGCACTTAAGCGCGGTATTCGCGTTAATTTCGCCTTGCGTCCACAATACAAAATTGTACGCTGTCGGCAGGTACAAATACCTTTTGGATATGCTGAAATTTCTGCAATGAATAAATAAGTCTGGAATTGTTTTTTCTTCTTCTTCTTCTTAATAACTGCAGCAAAATAATTCAAATACATGTAAATAATGCGTCCGCAGAGACGTCCAGTACGACGCCGAAATGAACACTTACCACAATACGCTACTTCGTCTTCCTTGTCGTTGTTCGCATATTTACTGCCCGCACCCCTGGCATCAGGCGCGCTGAATGGCTCCTCCTGCGTCACTCCCACCAATGTAGCATTTATCAATTCACCGGACGTGCCTTTGCGCCCGCCGTGAGTAGATTTGCTTTGCGGATATTGTTGTTGTTGTTGACGGCGTCGTTCAATTGCATTGCCGACTATTTTATCGGTCAGCGCCTTACTGCCATAAAGTAGGCCACACTCGACCGGGTGTTCGTCGCTGCCATCCTCACAATCTGTGCGATTGTCGCAAATTTGTCGCTGCGGCACGCACAACGTACTCCCATCGCAGGCGAAGGTACCCTGCGGACAGGGTCCTGTGAAATGAAGAAAGAAGGAAAAAAATGAAAGTACAATAAATATATAAAAAATACCATTGGAAATGTGCGAAAAAAGCACAATAGAAATAATGATGGTAGGTGTGAATAAAATAAAAAGAATTAGAATAAAAATGTCTGTTTCAAATTAGGGCTCAACTCGGCATTGGCAGGAAAATAAAATGCGAGAAATACGGTATTAATAATATTGCCAAAAACACTTATTCTACACGCTGTTGGTCATTGTAAGTAGCAAGCGGCGGCGGTGGTACTATGGCAAATTAACGCAACCGCTAACTACCCGCGTCAGATCGTTAATTTAAAATAATTGAAATGAACTTTTGTAGGCTGTCGGCAATTTACGCTTGGTCAGTGTGGTTCGGTCACTGCGGGTGCTTTTTGGAAATTTTTTAAGCAATGAGAAAATGAAATCATCATATACACAACCATATCGTGTGAGATGGATAATTAAATAAATTTAACGAATTTACGCCAGTCGTCTGTGAGAATGCCTATTTCTGTAAAAAAAATTGTTAGAGGTTAAGAAATCTAATTAGAAAAATTAATAAAATAATAGAATTAGTTAAAAAAGATTTCCACTTAGGGCACTCATCTCTTGTTTGCAGATCTTCTCTACTACAGTTTCGGTTTTTTTATGAAAATTCGTAAGCGAAGCCGTTCGGCAAATCCTTGTTATGGAATAGGAAAAAATTTTAAAATAACTGACGGCAATTAAAATTGAGTTTTTACTTTTTATGTTAAATATTCCGTACAGGGATTTGATTTTAAGGGAAATTCAAAACCTTTATATAGTAAGGATTATCCATTTCATGGTTTCAAAAGTATGAAAGCTGTTAAGGGGCACACCTAGTGTGAAATTTCAAAAAAATCGATCTTTTTTCATATTTCGGTACTTTACACCTTTAAAAATTACATTTAAAATTTTCAAAACGATATCTCAAATAGTTTTGGAGTTATAGCAATTTAAAGAGCAGCCGCTCAGCAGCTAGAGAGCCTCATTAGCTACGAGTGAAAACGATCCCTTTATCTTTAAACGCGTTTTTCTCGAAACGAAATTTTCCGAATTTGCTGCAGTGATTACTCAAGAACAAATTATCCGATCACTATCGAATTTTTTTACATGTTCCATATAGAGTTCTCCGTACAATGACCTATTGATTTTTGATCTGTTCAAAAAATCGAATTTTGGCAGGCCAAAAACGACCAAAATTGTGCGTAAAATTCGACTATTTTTCTTTAAACGCCGCCATATTGTCAATTTTTGACTTCTTTTTTTTATCGTAGGTCATTGTACAGACAATATTATCTAGTCTAACGGGAACTTTTTTTAGATTTCATCCACGGAGAAGGGCGGAATCACTGCAGCAGTGAAGGACCTTTTTTTCGCGCCGTTAGAGATCGACTATAACTTAAAAAATATTTAATTTTTTCTTCAAAAATTTCATTTTATATTTTTGAAACATGTATAAATATATTCTTAAAATTTTGAAATGATTGATAAAGTATTTTTTTTTAATAAAAATTCCCAAAAATCAACTTTTTTTTAGGCCATTACACCAGGTGTGCCCCTTAAGCATAACTGCTAACCAAAATACGTTATGCTTTAGTTTAAAGTCAAGCAATTTCAAAAATGTATCGCTTAACAACCGCGCAACGCGTTGAAATTGCTAAAACCTCTTACAAAAATGGTGATTCAAACGTGACCACGTTTCGCGCTTTAAAGTGAGATTATGGTACAAGTCAGCGTCCAACAACACATACGTCGATTGGGTTCTTAAACTACCATCAGTGGACGGAGATTTTTCGAACAAAATTTTCTTCAGTGACCATTACATCCATCAACACTTAATGTCTCGTGCGCACTTTGGTCAGGAGGTGTGATTTTATTTTACTTCTCTAAAAACGACTGTCACTGTGAATTCGGAGCGTTTCGATCGTATGAGAGCCGACTTTTTGGCCTATAATTTAAGAAGAGCGCTTGGACAATGTATGATTTCAACAACACATAACACGAGCAAATAAGACGTTGCTGCGAAATTTCCAGGTCGCATAATCTCTCGACTTCGGGTTGGCAAAATAATTTCTGTGAATTATAATCGTTCATTATTTACTTGAGTTGTTGATTCTCATCAATTTAAAACTAATTACAATTTTCTATGTATTTTTCTTCCTATCTCTTACTTTATTGTTTTTGGCTAATTCTACTAGGAGACAAGCATCTGGCCCTTCTCCTGATTCCGCTACCCTTTTATTCCGCTGTGTACTTTTGTCAAAAATGAGAAGAACTTGATTATGTTCTTAAATTCCTTCATAATAAACGATTTGATCGTGCATGATGAGATTACCTACACTGATGGTTGGATTCTCAAATGTGCAGATTTTTCGTTCTTCTTTTAAGTAGTTTTTCTCCCCATGAAGAGTTTGGCGAACTTTTCTACTCGATAGCCGAGTGGTTAGCATTACGTACTGCCCTTTGCAAGGCTCGGGCTTAAATCCAAAAAGTTGTAGAAAATTAATTTAAATAAAAAATTAAACTAAATTTTCTGATTGCGACAGTCCCTTCACAGGGAATTTTAACCCCTCCGAGTGTATTTCGGATATGAAATAAAGGCTTCTCGTAAAAAGAACACCAGGCGGCTTAGTATAAACTGTAGATCCCTTCATTGGTTGGAATAACATCAAGACGCAAAACCATAAATTGGAATAGAAACTCGGCTGCAAATCGCTTCAGCGCCAATTGTATATTATATTATCTCTTATATATGTTCTATTTTGGGATTATATTACTTTCACAGGTATGATTTCAAGCAGAGATTCAAACGACGTGCCGCATCTCATGTAGCCAGTAATGCAGGCGCAAGCTAGTCTTTATTTTTATTAGCGTGGTTGTTAGGCAAAATGTCGAAAATAGTGATAAAATAATGGTAATCTTCGAGTCTGACCATTATTCGTGCCCTATATGGACCACTTAAGAGCTAAACATTGCACGAAAACAGTTTGGAACCATCTGAAAAATTCTGGATACAAAAAAAGTTTGATGTATGAATACCACATGAGAGAAAAAACCTTATGAACCGAATTTCCATATTCGAACCGCTGCTAAATCGTAACAAAATTGCCGATGGTGACTGATAATGTAAAGTGAATCACTTACAGCAGTGTCAAATGAAAATGGTTGTGATCGAAGGGCGGTAAACGCCGACACAAACGGTCTCCAAATCAGGATTGACAGCCAGAAAGACTTTGTTGTGTTAGGTTGTGTTTGATTTGGTCTACAGTAAAGGGCTATCAGCAGGGCAATGCCAGACCATACTCATCGATAGTACAATACCAAAAACTCCGAGAGCTTGATTGGGAGGTTTTTATGCAACCATCTTTTAGGCAGGGCCTTGAAACAAGTGACAATTGGTCTTAAGAGAAGCCTGCGAAAATCGATTGTCCCAATTTTTTGTCCATAAGAAGAATGATTTCTACGAGAGAGGCATAATGAAATTACCTTCAAAATGGCAAAAAGTTATCGAATAAAACGGGGCAAATTCGACATAAATCGGCTTTACTTACCGTAGTTAGAATTATCCTAACGCCATTTAGCGTTATCTAGTATTACTTATAGAACACGACAACCGATCACTAAAGCCGTCTTGCAAAATTGATGGATTACTTTTTACTTTACCTAATATATATATATATTTATACCTCTACTTATGCACATATACTACTGTCTAATATATATATAATATATATATTTGTATTCTATGAGTTCATCTCTGGGAAACACTTTAAGTCGACACATAAAAATTTACAATCGATTTGCCAACATATTTGCCTTAAGTCAAAACAATAACGATTTAACTGCGAATGTTGGTAAGTACATAACTTCTAATTTGTAACTTGGATATTGGCACTTACATAAATACACACATGCCATGCAAACACATGATACTGACAATTTCCAAATATAAACAAAGAGTCTGCATATCAAAGCACTCGCATTTAAGAAGGCAAACATACACGATGGTAGGTATGTATGTATATATGTATGGGCATATGCAAATATATGTGTATAGTGGACAATAATGCAGAGGAACCGTTAAAAATTATCTGCACAATAGGTTTTATGGTATTGCCTCACACATTTAAGTCAATTATTTCCACTAAAATTGTAACAAAAATTTTGGTTAAACTACGGATCCTCTGTTGAGCATTGAACGGCAAAAGTCAGGCTTATTGTGTTATTAAGAATAAGATTGCACACAGTAAGTATAGTAACTTGAAGTATAGTGGGAGAATATAATTTGTTTTACATCTCTATTTTACTTTGCTACAGCCTGTGGAAGAATTAGCCAAATTATAACAAACCATTGATTGTTATTGTCGAACATTTACATAATATTTTCAATTGATATTTCGAATGACTTATTTGGCACATAACAGACTAATAATAATAGCAATAATCATAAACACCAATTGACGTTATGAGTTACGGAAACTTAGTAAAATTTTGTAAATATTGGAATTACCGAGTGAGGCAGAAACATTGAATAACTTAAAGTGAAAATTTCTTAAGAACAAGCACGAGGGGAAACAGAGAAAGAGACAGAGGGAGAATAATTTCTTAGATACGTAAAATCATATCAAATACAATACAAAAATTTCATAATACGATGTGTAACTTCACTGCTAACATAGGAGCCATCTACGCGATTAACTAACACGGTAATTGGAAATACCAAGTGCAGCCAGACCTTTCTCCACTTGATCTTTTCAACAGCATCGAAAACTTTCTAAGCTGGAGTCTACGAATCCATTCTTGATTTGTTTATTTATGTCAAGGTCGTAATATAATTCACCATTCCATCGCCTGCGGTACTCGCCGAAAGAGGACTTTACTTCTCAACCGCCTAGTCAGTCCAAAGTAACAACTGTTGGTAAGAGGGATTTTGCGTATGATATCCAGGCCAATATTTATTTAATCAGAAGATATTTCGTTTTGAACTCGTTCACCACAAGACCCGTACCCGAATGATATCAATACCATCAGTCTACGCCAGCATAGAAGATTGTCCCTCCTCTATTGAATTCAGCTGCTGGTATTATATTCACCAGCAATAAATTGAAGAAATCACACGATAAAGAGTCACTTTGTCTGATACCGTATTTGGTTTCGAACGGTCTGGAGAGGTCCTGACGGTGCTTTTGGTAGTTACATAGCTGTATAAGTTAAGCGCGTATACTAAATTCAGACATAACGGCATAGAGCTGCCTTTTCGTGTTTTCGAAGGCTATGCGTGTCGAACGTGTTATCGTGTGTCTTTTCAAAGATTTGACAGATGATGAATACCTGCTCAATGGTGGTTATAGCAGGTTTAAAGCCACATAGATAAGGTTCATGGGAGGGCTTATATTACTATAATTAGCAGAGATAAAGAAGATCTCAATCCTTTTCGTGGATTGCGGACAGCAGATTTAGCATTCAATCGTTGGTTAATACTCTAAGTTTATTCGAAAAATTGTGTGAATTTCCATTTTTCTCAAAAGTATTTATTTATGCATTAATCGTCATTAAACCTATCAACCTATAAACCTTTCAAAGTAATCCTCCTGCTTGTGCTAACGATCTTTCCAATCCATGAAGCAGTCTGTTATAAACTTTTGATATATCGCTAAGTTCATTTAGCCCGATAGTTTTCACCTCTCCAATCTTGAATATCTGCAAACAATGCCGAGGGAACATCTATTTGACATAAGGAACACTCATGGTATGTTGAACTCGATTATCGAATTACCGAAAATTAAAATTTTAAATTTTGTCGACTTGTTTGACTATCCTGTCCCACTTTAACATTGACAAAGTATTAGCACTTTTTTGGCCATTTTTTTAAAAATCAGTGTCTGTCTCATAATCCGTTCTAAGCCATGTCAACAAAGTGAAGAGCCTTATATTATATAATTAACAATTTATATTACAAGCAATACAGAATTGTACTTCCCTCATCACTGCCTATTCTTGCGTTGGCTTTCCATTTGCGACAATTTAATCTCCAAAAACAGAAAGCCTTGGAATCAGCGATAACACAAAATAGTCTAAGTGTTTAAATAACAGTCGGAATGAAAAAAATAAGGCGCAGAAAGTTCGATAAGAATAACGAAGAAGCAATTAATACTTGTAACTTTATTATTTAAGTGGATGTAGCAGAAAGCACTGAGGAATATTATAGAAGCACAGATAACCTACCACTCAGACACACACATACGTGTATACACACACAAACAATTATCAATTTCTTTTCACAATGATGAATATTTGTATGCGTGCATTTACACTGTGTACGTAACCACAAAGGCAATAAGCTCAAACGCCTAAAATTATACATAAATACATTCACAACAATATGCTGTCAGAGCAATGTGGCAAAAGTGAGTGAAAACTTCGGGAGTATGAGTGACAACGGGTCGTGAACAAATCGAAAAGGGCATTAACGTCAAACGTGCACCAGAATACGAATACCGTATTGCCCATTTTGCCATAAATAGGTTAATTTGAACTCACAACCCATGAGAGTAAAATATGCTCACACGGCACATTTTTCACGCCTTACAATTGAGGAACTGCAACAAGAAAACTAAAGCGAGCAACAATATTTAACGAAAAAATACAAAAAAAACCAAGCAAGTACCAAAGAAAAGTAGATAATTAAACGAATTGATAAATGGACAAGTTCAGTTTAGTTAGTTGTGTGTCAAAGGCCAATAGGCGACACTCGTTTCCAGAACGTATTATAAATAGCAGCAAACTGGCTAAGTAGACAACTGACATTGGTCAACGGTCAATAGGCATTGATATGCAATAGCAAGGTTTGGTCAGTTTACCAAATTAAATTCAATTTTCTTTTGCGCAAGTGTAGATGGAGTAGATGTGAAATCGATACTAAGCAGAATATAGTGTAGATTTTGATAAAACTAGATATACATCCTATGTTACATAAATATAGTATATACGGAGTGTGAGTTATGAGTGGCCGAAATGTCTCAGCACCAGTAGAAAAAAAATAGACGACTTGAGTTGATTTAGCCTTGTGTGCATTTCCGTCTGCTTGTACGCCTGCTGGATCCTCAGATTTTTTCATATTACAACCAAACTCAGTACACAGATTCACTGACACATTTAAATGATCATTTGTCGGAACCGGACAGATCGGACAGCTATAGTGATTGATTTTTCAGATTTGGTACAGAAAATTTTATCGAAATCGGACAATTGTGACATATAGTTCTCATACCCTAATTTTTTCATATAAGTTTTTCGTCCAAACTCGGTCAAATAGGCATTTAATAGCATGAAATATGGTATTGAATGTTCAATCTATAGAAAACATCTCGTCACCGAAAGTACTTAAAATCGGTGGACTATATCATATAGCCCCCTACAACCGATATAAGATTTTGGGTCAAAAACCCGTCAAACAACTTCTAAGAGCATTTCTTAATCTTCTGACGCATATGCAATACAAATAAATATTATCACGGAAAATCATCTACTGAAGGATGATTTTTTAAGAGCTATAGGAGGGTTTTTCAAATAAACACATAAACTTTGGAAAAATGCATGAAATATTTATTTGAATCGATAGTATGGTCCAAATAATTTAATGATTGAAGATTATTTCATGCAAATGTTGGCCGTGGCTCCGCTTCAAAAGGTCCATTCGCTTAGTCCAATTTTGGCATATTCTTTCCAACATTTCGGCCGGTATCTGACGAATGAATGCAACATTTTGTCCTTCAATGCGTCAATTGAAGCGGGTTTGTTTGTATAGACATTAGATTTAACATAGCTCCACAAAAAAAGTCTAAAGGCGTTGAATCTAGACGGCCAATTGACCGGTCCTGATCGTGAAATAAAATGTTCACTGAACTCGGCTCTCAATAAGTCCCTTGTTACGCATGCTGTGTGGCATGTGGCACCGTCTTGTTGAAACCACATAACACGCAAGTCATGCTCTGCCATTTTGGGCAAAAAAAAGTTTGATATCATCTCACGGTCACCATTCACAGCTATGTTACGATTCGCATCACCTTTGAAGAAGTACGATCCCATTAGACCGCAACAAACTGTGACTTTTACTGAATGCATTGGAAGCTCTTGCAATGCTGCTGGCTGATCTTCACACCGAAATCGACGATTCCTCTTATTTACGCACACATTAAGCCAAAAATGAGCTTAATGATAAAAATGGAAGAAGCGTGCGATGAACTTTCTTAACAGTGTTGTTCGTTTGTAAGACGATTCATGGTTAAATTATAGCCAAACTGAAGATGTTTGAAAGCGCTACAACATACGAGTGTTGCCAAAAAGATAATACCTAAAAAATCACCCTTTATAAATCGGAAAATTTCACTAAATAGTCGTCTTTCAACCAGTTTTCGAGAATTGGAATTAATATATCCTAAAATGAGATACCATTAATTTGATGTTGTCATTAAAGGGCACAGCCGAAGACAGATTTCTTTCTTGTTTTTAAAAGCAATCGTCCTTAGCCGAGACTGTCGATCTATTTGATTGCATTTTGAATATTGAAATAGCGCATTAGAAAGGAAAATAGTTTTTTTATTTGTTTAAAAATAAGACAACAGAGAATCAATCCAAAAAGTCTGGGTTAAAAGCTCGCAAAGTGCGCAAACCTTGCTTGAGAAATTCAACATATTACAAAACAAAAAAAAACTCGAAATCAATTTTGGTATCACATAGTTATTTGCATTATGTTATATAATAAAATCAGTGATATTAAGAAACTTCGAGCTGCAAACCGAACTAGGTCCTCGTTCGGTTGCGTTGAAAACTACTAAATAATTATAATTTTCATGAGCTAATTATTTAGTGACAGTAACTAAGTTATTTTAATCTTATTTGAGTAGTTATTATATATTAAGTAATTATATGTATATCTCCACAATTTCATTCTCCCACAACTTTGTATCACATTATCTACTAAAAACTCCCACCAATTATTACGTCAAGTTAATTTTTAAGCTCGTAAATTACAATTAATGGTGTTAAGTACTCACCTAAACTTAAATAGAATATTATTGCCGAAAGTGTAATGACCAAAAGCAGCAGACAGCCACCGATAGCGATGCTACGTCCATAAACCATTCTTTAAAAGTGACACCAAGTGATTTTATTTACAGCGAAAATTCATGACCCCAGCTAACGGCTTTGTTTAACACTTCATTTATGTACAGTGTAGTAAAGTGAAAATCTTTTCGTTTCTCATTTGCCGCACATTGTTATATTATCCAGTCTTCAATTCATGTTTACACATTCTCATTTTCATTGCACCAATAGAACGAAATAATTATATATTTTTACAGTTGCAGCCTTACAGGCGTAGTATTGAGAATTTGAAGAGGTCACCTTATTGTTAGTCGCTTTAAATGTTATTCAGTCACGTGACAACAATCAACAAACAAAGCGCTTCCGCGTCGTTTAACAATTAATCATGCGCTGTTTTTTTGTAAAGATATTCATTTTGCTTATATTATATTTAAAGAAGCAGCGGTATCCGCGACCGTAATTATCATTGGTTATGTTAATGATAACGTAAATATTAGTGTTATGCTGAAAAGGATGTTTAAAAAGGATTTTTGTTCTAGTGTTTTTTTTTTTCTTTGTTTATTTTATGTACAATTCACATCACATTGCTCATAATATTTTCAACGTAGTTTAAATGTAAACATTTCTCTGTATAGCATGAGGAGCAACAACATCACATCATCGCAAATAATCCATCATTATCAGCATAAACATCATCAAAATGTATGAAATCTCCATTAGACAAAGTGGCAGAGGTTTGGTCAACGTCACTCGGACGATAGTTGGTTTTCACTTACTTTTATGCTGTTTTTCATTGTTTTTATAGCTTTCATTGCTCGTCTGCGTAGTTTTATTATATTTCATACCCGACCGAGTATATAATCCTTTGTCTAGGGGTATATATACATATTTATAAATTCGTAGTAAGGTAAGAAGTTGTTTGTGTAAAATATAGATTCATATTAAAATAAAGGAAAATAAAAAAATTATAGATATTTATTTAAATAGAAAATAAAATTAATTATTCTAATTGCGGTCGCCCATCGGCAGGGAATGTCAATTTCTTCGAGTGTATTCTAATATGAAAGAAGAGCTCTTGACAAAAAGCCATCTGCCGTTTGTTAGAAAGACATCAAGACGTACACCATGAATTTGAGGAAGACCAACGTAATATATAAATATTATTTATTTATTTTATATTATTTATTATTTATTTTATATTATATTATTTAATTTAATTTCATTTAATTTAATTTCGTTTTAGTTAATTTTACTATATTCATTTTATTTATTATTTATTTCATTCACTTTATTTTCTTTATATTTATATTGCATTTGAAATTATTTTATTTCATTTCATTTTTTTTTTGCTTTATTTTGTTTCTTAATTTTAATGATTTTAATTTGTTTGACTTCATGTTAGTTCGCTTGGCTTAATTTCATTAGCTATTTTTTATTAATTTCCTTTTTATTTTCTCTATTTAACTTTATTTTATTTAATTTTATATTAATTTGTTTTATATTATTTTGTTCTAAATTTATTTACTTTATGGTGTTTTATTTTATTTACTTTATTTCATTTATATTTGAATTTTATTTTAATTTAATTTATTCATCATTTGAGTTTTTTATTTTATTTCTTTATTTTAAATAATTTTAGTTTGCTTGACTTTATTTTAGCTCTTCTAATTTAATTTATTTTAATTTTTCTATTTAATTTAATTTTTTTTACTTTCTTGTTTTCAATTTTCAGAGGCACATCTAGTGTAATGGCCTAAAAAAAGGTGATTTTTGAGAATATTTATTAAAAAAAATGCTTTATCAATTATTTCAAAATTTTAAAAATATATTTATATATGCTTCAAGAGTATACAGTGAAATTTTTGAGGAAAAAAATTAAATATTTTTTAACTTATAGCCGATCTCCAACGGCGCGAAAAAAGGTCCTTCACTGCTGCAGTGATTCCGCCCTTCTCCGTGGATGAAATCTAAAAAAAATTCTCGTTAAGATAATATTGTCTGAACAATGACCTACGATAAAAAAAAAATAAAAAATTGACAATATTTCGGCGTTTAAAGAAAAATAGTCGAATTTTACCCAAAATTTTGGTCGTGTTTGGCCTGCCAAAATTTAATTTTTTTGATCAGATCAAAAATCGATAGGTCATTGTACGAAGAACTCTATATGGGACATGTAAAAAAAATCGATAGTGCTCGAATCATTTGTTTTTGAGTAATCACTGCAGCAAATTCAGAAAATGCTGTTTCGAGAAAAACGCGTTTAAAGATAAAGGGATCGTTTTCACTCGTAGCTAATGAGACTCTCTAGCTGCCGAGCGGCTGCTCTGTAAATTGCTATAACTCAAAAACCATTTGAGATATCATATTTGAAATTTTAATATGTTATTTTTAAAGGTGTATTCTATATAGATCGATTTTTTTGAAATTTCACACTAGGTGTGCCCCTTAATTTATTTGATTTTATCTATTTTATCTAACTATTTTAATTAACTTAACTTTATTTTATTTTATTTCGTATCATTTTATGTTACTGGCAGCCAGTGCTTTAGTTTGTAAGTGGAATAATTATTTATAATTGTTTCTCTTTTAAATAAATAAATAAATAAAATATATTTTTTATTCTTTTATTTGTTATATATATATGCTTTTCTTTTCCTTATATTTTCTTTTCATATTATATTATATGTTTTTTTTATTACTTAGCTTTATTTTATTTAATATTATCTATTTTATTTTATATTATATTTGTGTATAATTTAATTTTTTTATTTTATTTCGAGTCATTTTATGTGACTTAATTTTTTATTTTACTTTATCTATTTTATTTATTTTTATTTTATTATTTGTTTTTTTTTTGTTATNTCTATTTTATTTCCAATGGTTTTATTTTATAGATCTTATTTTATTTTAATATTTTGTTTTCATATCATTTTGCCTATTTTATATCTTTTTCTTACTCTGCTCTTTACGAAAACGTTTAATTTATATTTTTAATAATTCCTTGTAGCGGTGTTACTGAAAATATTTGGTGAATGGAAGCTGTAATATTATATAAGTATATATAATGTAATGCAAAAAAAAACTTTTGAATCATAATTGAAGGTTTAAAGATTTGCAAGTTTCATTTAGAGGCGTTTAAGATAAATATTCACATATACATACATATTTATCTAAATACTACATTCATACTTTTTTTTTAGTGTGAACTTATATTTTATGTACTTTTTATTGACTTGACTTGAATTTCAATAGAATACAGGCTATCAGTTTGAGAATAATCAGCACATAATAGTGGGTATATGTAAAATATGTACATACAAACTTCAGTTAAAGCTTTGTGAATTGTGAAGACCTCACAATGACTTTTTAACATCATCATTAAATATTAGTACACATGTGGTTGTAAGCCTGCGTGTAGTCTTTAGACGCTTGGCATAATTTTTTTCTAAATTTCACTTTTTTATGTACGTATATATTTTAGAAGCCATTGACTCCTTAGTTTAGAAGAATTTTGGGTGGTATATAATGAGTACTTAGACAAATGTTTCGACACTTAAATGCATACAAAATAAGTACAAATACCATAATGATATTAAAAAAGAACTTTTCAATGCTCTTTCCCTCACAAAGAGACTTAATGCATTGTACACATGCCTATCGTGTTGCATGTTTTCACTCAAATTTACATGTAAACGAAAACACTAAGACTATGCAAGAGCACGTAAAAACCATGTATGCTTTCATATAAACATATTTTTTATTTGCTATTAAATTAAATAATAAAACCCATTCTGAAGTTGATGGGTTAAAAAAACTAAGATACAAATCCCGCCGACGACGATGAAAAATTGGCCTAAAAAAGGTTGAACTTTTAGAAACAAGTATGAAAACGAACAATGCTGTGGCGCGTATAACGCGAAACTTACTAAGTTCTTACGAGAGAAGTAGAGGCCAGACTTTAAACTATTAATACCGATGGTTGATAGAGGATTATTTTATTTGGCTAAGAAATTGGAACTGTGTAGTGCATTTAGTAACACTACGGACGTTGTATCATCTATGTGAGAGACTCTAGAGTTAACCAATTGAATCTAACCTAAAAAAAATTTTGGGATCCAAGGAATGCAGAGGGCCCAGAGGGTAATACAGTAGCATACAAACGAGAGAAAGCAAAACACTGTAGGTATTTTTGAAAGCATTTACCTGCTGTAGGACCAATCGTTAAGTGTAGATGCAAGGATTACTACCTTCGACTAGAATCCTGTGCAGTTGACGTATTGGAATACACCTTAAAATAAACTGTCGGTTTTATATTTTGTTGAAAAAACATCAAGTCGGCGACCACAAATTGTACAATAGTAGGAGCTCGGAAGAAAAACATCATTTCTGTGATTATATTGCGCCACTTATGTAAAAATAATCATAATCACTTTATTAACCAAAAATTTACGCCCGCATTGCCTATGCTGGAAAATATCATTTCAATACCTTTCATGTATATAAATGGTAGTAGTAGTGAAGCGATCTCCTACTGTGTGTTTGGTGGGATTGGCAAGGTATCATCCACTATAAGCTGCTCCCCTACATCCAAACTGTTAATTCGGATCTTTACTGTCGGCAATCGGACTGTCTGAGGCAAGCAATCGGCCTGAAGCGTCCAGTGTTGCTTAACAAGAGGAGAATTGTGTTTCATCAGGAGAACGCCAGACCACAAAACATCGATTACCTCTTACTAGACCTAATTTATGACTTGTTAAAGTTATTTTGTCATTCAATATACACAAAATGTACATATGTATTTATATAAAGAAACAAATATTTATTTAACATACTCATACGTTCATTCGAAATCATACATATAAACATTTCAAAAAAAAAAAAAAAACAAATCATTGGCTATTTTAATACAGAAAATTTTGCGAAAAATGCAGACCAATTACAAATATTTATTGACTTGAACTTTTATCTGATTTTATTTAAAGCACTCTTGTGTATGTTTGTTAAATTAATAACATTTAAGCGCATACGCAAGTAGTCGA